AGTTTTTAATCGGGAAAATTTTTTCATTGTCGCAGATTAGAGTTTTTTATCGGGAAAACTTTTTCATTGTCACACATTAGAGTTTTTAATCGGGAAAATTTTTTCATTGTTACAGATTAGAGTTTTTTAAATGGGAAAACTTTTTCATTGTCACACATTAGAGTTTTTGATCGGGAAAACTTTTTCATTGTCACACATTAGAGTTTTTAATCGGGAAAACTTTTTCATTGTCGCAGATTAGAGTTTTTAATCGGGAAAACTTTTTCATTGTCACACATTAGAGTTTTTAATCGGGAAAACTTTTTCATTGTCGCAGATTAGAGTTTTTAGTCGGGAAAACTTTTTCATTGTCACACATTAGAGTTTTTAATCGGGAAAACTTTTTCATTGTCACACAGAGTTTTTATTTGGGAAAACTTTTTCATTGTTACAGATTAGAGTTTTTAATCGGGAAAACTTTTTCATTGTCACACATTAGAGTTTTTAATTGGGAAAACTTTTTCATTGTCGCAGATTAGAGTTATTAGTCGGGAAAACTTTTTCATTGTTACAGATTAGAGTTTTTAATCGGGAAAACGTTTTCATTGTCACACATTAGAGTTTTTAATTGGGAAAACTTTTTCATTGTCACACAGAGTTTTTAATCGGGAAAACTTTTTCATTGTCACACAGAGTTTTTAATCGGGAAAACCTTTTCATTGTAACAAATTACAGCTTTTGATCGGAAGGAACATTTCATTTTTACATATATGTTTTTTCTGGTACATAGTAAATACATTATCTCATCACAATAATTTACTTTGTAAACTAGAAATAAAGTTATTGTTTGTTCTTTAAATTCTATAGAAACAATACCATATAGTATTTATTAAACTAGTACCAAACAGAAATGTATTGACCAAATTAGAAAGAGATATTGACACCTTAACATATTTCGCAAAAAAAAAATATTAAATTTACCTTCTTATTTAATTTTGAAATTAAAACTGACGTATTTTTTAAGAAAACAAAACTAACTTCAGCATAAAATAAGAAAGAAATCTTGATTGATTTCATAAAGTGACCGCCAGCCTGACCACAAGCTGTGACCCCTGTAATAAGTCTGGCGTCAGACTTGTCAGTCACTTCTCGTCTGGTTCTAGACAACCGTTTTTTGTTCGGTGCCAGACTTCCAGGAGCTGGTATTGTTTGGACGGGCTGCACTTAAAGTCTGCTTGTGTTAAGTGATAGCCCTGCGCTTAATTGTTTCTTTCTCTACCCGCCCCCCGCTCGCTGGGTGGTGCGTTGAGTCAAGTTGCTGAAACAATTCCATCGAAACAGTTGGTGGGCGTTCCCTGGCAATTGTTAGGCATTCATGCTCTCGCAGTTGTTAGGTGTTCTGTCGCAGTTGCTAGGTGTTCTGTCGCAGTTGTTAGGTGTTCTGTCGCAGTTGTTAGGCATTCCATTTCCATCCAAACCCATCCAAACTTGTGATGTAAGGATTTGTCCTAACCTTTTTCAACTCAAAGAAATTACATTTCCACTTCTTTGTATTGAACAATTCGAATGTTATCATTACAGGGACATAACTCTAGAAGCCTTACGCGTTTTTCTATTGCTTAACAGCTGGCTATAGCTGTAAAAAGGGGAGGGGGGGCTGATTACAGTTAAGGGTAAAGCTGAAAGAAGCCATGCTGTCCTAAACATATTCTAATTTGTGTACTCACTTTTATAGCGTCTCGAAGTTTTATTACCAGTTAATGTTTTATGTTTTTATACAATTAATGTTTATCTGTTGTCATGTTATTCGATCCCAATGATAGGAATAAAACCTACTTTAAATTAAATCAACAGATAACATCTACTAGAAAATGGACGATTTGTGTGCTCACGCTTTGCGTTAAGTGAAAGTCGTTTATTATTTTAGCAGCTCAACTGAGCAACTCCCTTCACAAACGTGCTAAACAAATATCATTAGAACTATGTTAAATAAACACTCGGTGGAACTATGTTAAACAAATACGCTACACCATTACGTTGGACAAACAGGCAATTGAGATAAGGAGGGAAAAAATTGTAAACAAAAACACCTTGAGGCAAAGTATTAAGTTTTCGAAAAAAAATCAATAGGAATTTAAAAACGTTAAACTTGAGCTGAATTTTATTTGTTTGTACTGTAGAAAGCAGTGAGCATTTCGTTAGCCCGGGTATACCTGTACGACCCCACGTTTTTAACCACTGATGAATCTGTAAAGGTAAACCGTTTTTTATTTATTTTTAGCACACCCTCAAGTGGGGGTAATTAAAACCGCCATCATTCCACGCAGAGCCGTGACGCCTATTGGCATCTTTCGGCATCTCCTACAGGTAGATCTAGGTAAAAACATACAGGTAGGCAAAAAACTACCTGGTAGGTAAAAAACCTAAATTTGGAAATGTGCTTACAATGGTCTAAGTGACGTGTCGTGTTTTCGTCATCAACATTCTGTCCATCATAACCTTACATCTGTGGTTGTGTTGTAAATGGGGAGGGGTCATCCAGATAGGGGAAACTAGGTCAGGGGTCAACCAGATAAATGAAACTAGGTCAGGTGTCCGGGTGTTTGTTGTTGTAGACGACCAATACTTCATAACGTGTGAATGTCTAGGTTATCACCTACGTTTATCACCTTCTTCAGAGTGTAGGTCAATATCACAGCTTAGATGTCTATTGTAATATCTCTATTCACCTCACACTGGGTGGTTTTTTATAACTCATCTATCAGAACTGCTAGTATATGGCTAATATTTACAATACGATTTTGATAAATATATTCCTAGTAGATATGTCCATGCAATCCATAAAGCTGGACACATATTTTGGAAGGTTTCTGTTGTTGAGGAACCTAGCTAATTTCGACTATCCACACAACCAACTTTTGCCACCCACACAACCAACTTTTGCCACACACAACATTTGCCACCCACACAACTTTTGCCACCCACACAATATTTGCCACCCACACAACCAACTTTTGCCACACACAACATTTGCCACCCACACAACTTTTGCCACCCACACAAGCGAATGTTTCTACCCACCATCCCACACAATATCTGTTCCGACCTTAGATTTGCCTCACATTGCGCATGTTTGCCATGGGGTTTTTTTTTTCACATTCACAATTTTTTAACAAGTTGAGCCCCTCATTTGTGTATTTGTCTCATTAGCGAGGCGGGAGTGCTGTCCCCTGATCGAGTGGTTTGCTTCTAATTTGACCTCCCGTTTCAATCGCAAGTTTTTAAGTTTTTTTTTTTTTTTTTTTTTTTTTTTTTTTCTGTTTCTGATGACTTAAAGCAGGCAACATGTTCCTAATGATTGTTCTTGAGACCCCGGATAAATGTAGATGCTAGACCTTAACACGCAGAACATTTCAAATAAAAAAATTCTAACACCAGTTATTTAAACGCAAATTAAAATATAAATAAAACCCCTAAAGTAACCCGAAAGTAATTACTAATTAAATCACTGATTTAATGAAAGATTTACATTTTTACAATGAGCAATGCTTCTAACTTTCTTAAATGTTTTTGTTGGTTATTATTGTGTTTAAAAAACTGAATCTCCTTTCCTTTTGTCGAAAGTTCAAACGTTAGCCCAAAAATTTGTTAGATTTCAACGGGCCTTAGATATAGTACACTCCCATTAAACACATGAAAAAAATTTTTTATGGTGTAACCGATGTGTCAGAAATACTTTATGTCCTTACTTGAAGACTATGGCCCTCGCCTTTGTGGATACAAAGCCTTAAAGTCTGATCATCAATGTCAAGGAAACACGAATCAACCTGTCCAGGTAACGGTGAAAACTGGAACGATGTTGATTTTAAGTGCCTCTTACTTGATAGCGGTAGAAATCTACACTCAAGTCAACTGGCTTCGAGTCTAACACTGCTGTCAGGAGATCTTACGCCGCGCCGTATACGTTGTGGTAAGGGTCTAATATTAGAACTCCCAAAACTACATTTATCCATGGGCCACTGATGGCCATGAGACCCATAGGCCAAGATCCTGGCCTCGCTTGCAGCCTCCCACAGTCAGCCAACGATAAATCACCCCGGGCCGCTGGCCGTGAATACGATTTTCATTCGCTCCTGATAAAACTCAAATATTTATCAATAGCCTAACGCATGTGTAGACGGCCAAACCACGTACTACCAAATCGATAAACAAAGGAAGATAAATGATTGTGATACAACTCGCCGAAGAAGACGGTGCGGCTATTTACCTCCCTTTGCAGGGGACATAATTCAATAGCGATAATAAAAGAACAAGTTTATGAATGCCTAGTGCGTGTTTGTTTTTACGACATCAGAATGATGATGAGTTTATTTCTTGGCTTATGAAGATATTGTTGCGGGAGACAGCGATAAAATATCGGGTGAATGAGATGGCTGGATTTACTGGACAACACGGCCCCGCAGTGTATTAGAAACAGTTGCAGACGATTGATTAGGTCGGGTAGATCTGATTGAGTAGAATATTGTTTTATGGCGTAGTGGAGGCAGGTGATTTGGGCGGTGGAATATTGTTTTATGGCGTAGTGGAGGCAGGAGGAATATTGTTTGATGGTGTAGTGGAGGCAGGTGATTTGGGCGGTGGAATATTGTTTTATGGTGTAGTGGAGGCAGGTGATTTGGGCAGTGGAATATTGTTTGATGGTGTAGTGGAGGCAGGTGATTTGGGCAGTGGAATATTGTTTGATGGTGTAGTGGAGGCAGGTGATTTGGGCAGTGGAATATTGTTTGATGGTGTAGTGGAGGCAGGTGATTTGGGCAGTGGAATATTGTTTTATGGTGTAGTGGAGGCAGGTGATTTGGGCAGTGGAATATTGTTTTATGGTGTAGTGGAGGCAGGTGATTTGGGCAGTGGAATATTGTTTTATGGTGTAGTGGAGGCAGGTGATTTGGGCAGTGGAATATTGTTTTATTGTGTAGTGGAGGCAGGTGATTTGGGCAGTGGAATATTGTTTTATTGTGTAGTGGAGGCAGGTGATTTGGGCGGTGGAATATTGTTTTATGGTGTAGTGGAGGAAGGTGATTTGGGCAGTAGAATATTGTTTTATGGTGTAGAAGAGGAAGGTGATTTGGGCGGTGGAATATTGTTTTATGGTGTAGTGGAGGCAAGTGATTTGGGCGGTGGAATATTGTTTTATGGTGTAGTGGAGGCAGGTGATTTGGGCGGTGGAATATTGTTTTATGGTGTAGTGGAGGCAGGAGATTTGGGCAGTGGAATATTGTTTGATGGTGTAGTGGAGGCAGGTGATTTGGGCGGTGGAATATTGTTTTATGGTGTAGTGGAGGCAGGTGATTTGGGCAGTGGAATATTGTTTTATGGTGTAGTGGAGGCAGGTGATTTGGGCAGTGGAATATTGTTTGATGGTGTAGTGGAGGCAGGTGATTTGGGCAGTGGAATATTGTTTTATGGTGTAGAAGAGGAAGGTGATTTGGGCGGTGGAATATTGTTTTATGGTGTAGTGGAGGCAAGTGATTTGGGCGGTGGAATATTGTTTTATGGTGTAGTGGAGGCAGGTGATTTGGGCGGTGGAATATTGTTTTATGGTGTAGTGGAGGCAGGAGATTTGGGCAGTGGAATATTGTTTGATGGTGTAGTGGAGGCAGGTGATTTGGGCGGTGGAATATTGTTTTATGGTGTAGTGGAGGCAGGTGATTTGGGCAGTGGAATATTGTTTTATGGTGTAGTGGAGGCAGGTGATTTGGGCAGTGGAATATTGTTTGATGGTGTAGTGGAGGCAGGTGATTTGGGCAGTGGAATATTGTTTTATGGTGTAGAAGAGGAAGGTGATTTGGGCGGTGGAATATTGTTTTATGGTGTAGAAGAGGAAGGTGATTTGGGCGGTGGAATATTGTTTTATGGTGTAGTGGAGGCAGGTGATTTGGGCGGTGGAATATTGTTTTATGGTGTAGTGGAGGCAGGTGATTTGGGCAGTGGAATATTGTTTTATGGTGTAGAAGAGGAAGGTGATTTGGGCAGTGGAATATTGTTTTATGGTGTAGTGGAGGCAGGTGATTTGGGCAGTGGAATATTGTTTGATGGTGTAGTGGAGGCAGGAGATTTGGGCAGTGGAATATTGTTTGATGGTGTAGTGGAGGCAGGAGATTTGGGCAGTGGAATATTGTTTGATGGTGTAGTGGAGGCAGGAGATTTGGGCAGTGGAATATTGTTTGATGGTGTAGTGGAGGCAGGTGATATCTGCGGTGGAATATTGTTTTATGGTGTAGTGGAGGCAGGTGATTTCGGTCGAGTAAATTTTTGTCGGACTTACTGGTGGTCGTGTTGTCTTTTTACCGTCGGAGGAATGGGCAGGGGGGGGGGGGAATGTGGAATTTGTACATTAAAATGGAAGGGAACCTAGTAGATTGAGGTAATAATTTCATTTTTAGTTCTTTAAAATCATATCATGATGAAAATGTTGATTTAGAGTTATGGTTATTTTTTTGAAAGATTCTGGTAACCAGGTTGTTATTTTAAAGTAGGGGGGGTGAGCTGACCAGACGATAATGACAGTGTATGACGATGGCGGGTGTATTGAGGTGGACGTGAACGGGTACAATTTCAGGACGTCATTTACGGTCGAACCTAGCTCAACACCGGATACAGAGTCTTCAAGACCCGATCATCGCCTCGAATCTTTTATTGTCGTCCCACCTCCCTAAATCAACAATCAACAATCCGGTGTTTAAGGGATATCACCCCACTTCCCTAAATCAATAATCAACAAGCCCATATTTAAGGGAGATCACCCCACCTCACCAAAACAACAATCAACAAGCCTGTTAGATGTTAAAGTGGGATTTGAACCCCAGCGCCATGATCGACGAGTGGATCAGCCTCCAGACGTTCGCGTCATATTTATCCATTTACACCATTTACTCCAGCGCGAGCCGCTGATGGATGACCCTGGCGTGGATATCTTATTAAATTTCGTGGATAATCCGGTCAGCCTGTCGCAGGCCAGAAAAAAATGCATCACTGTCGCCGGTAGCCGAGCAGCTGATTAAAAGTAAATACGTGCAGGGCTGGTGGCTTAAGCCGCAGACGACACCAGCACAGTCAGACGATTGATGGACAGAAGCGCGCGGATATTTTGGTAACAATGAAAATCGTTTCTAATCATTTTAATTCCCTGTTTTATAGGGATCAGAAAAGCGATGGAATCTCTTAAGTCGTGGGTTCTAATCCAGAGTGAAACTGTTAGTTTATTTAGTTTTTACTTGATAAATGCTAATTACAATCCGCATTGTTTAGTTATGTAATTTATGTCTACCTAAGGATTCCCAGAAAAATGCTCAGACGACGGAAAAATACGCATACGAAAACAGCGTAAACACAACAATGCACAAATACAAACTATACAAATACACTTTTGTCATATGTCGGGGAAAAATTATTTATTATGTTTGCAGTGTGGGCTACATGTATTCATTCTTTGTTTACGTCCATAAACGATCGATTTAAAAAATCCTTTTTCGCCCATTTTTTGTGCACACTTTTGTTTGTGCGCAGTATCCCATTGCGCATCTTTCCGGTCACCCGATGTAAAACATACGTTTGGTGTCTGAATGAGCATTATTTCAAACAAGCGATGTAATTTTCGTCTAATAAGTGCTGTATGTTGTCTTTGTCTGGGTTATTTTAATTACATGCATAGTTTGAGCAGGTCATATTATGTAACAATATGTTAACATAATTATGTTTGGTGCTCAGGCACGCGATACGCTGCCTATTGGTTGCGCTGCCTTACGGTGCGCAAGTTTATAGTGCGCAACCTCTCGGATCAGCACAAGGAACTCATTAGCCCGGATGTAGGAATGCCGGCCACCACTTTGTCCCCATGGATCCCCCTGAATGGCACAACGTAATTGCATCAGAAAATCTTCAGTGCATTTCTGGTATTCAACTTGTCATGGTTTGCAAACCCTTTTCTGGAACTTTTAATTCCACCCCATTGAATTACGTCACAATTAAACTTCTAGAATAGTCTGTCAATACTTTCTTTATTATCACTTTGCATTCATATTTGATAAAATACTTACATATTACTAAATATATCTATATTTTAACAAAAAAAAGGACATTCCGCAGCGGTCATCCCATCCTACAATCACTTGAATTCTCTGCTTCATGATTGCGATTGTCCCCATCTATTAAACTGTATTCATAACACGACACTTCAAACAACAGCGACAACTTTTAGTACTCGATCCATCTAACCGTATGGCTGCGTCTTTTCTCTAGCATCTACCCGGTATCGATCCCGCTATTTGATGGTATCGATTCACCAGGCTCGCAATGTATGGCCTATTGTTTCTTGTAATTCCTGCCTGGTTTTCAATTGGTTTAGACTGGATCGATTATTTTGTTATTGGTAAGTTCAGTCAAGTGAAACGGAATCGCTTCGTTAGCTGTGTGGGGACAATGTCCCGAGGGTCCTTTTCATGCGAGCATCAATGGCTTTTGTGTATTTTAATTTCATTGGTCTTTTCCTTCGTTCTCCGCAAGAAAAGGTACTGAGTCGTAGGTGCGGTGACGGTGCTGGGTTATATAAACCAGACCAAACACTCCAGAAATGTGATTTTTGAAACGTTTAAACCAGACCAAACACTCCAGAAACGTGATTTTTGAAACGTTTAAACCAGACCAAACACTCCAGAAACGTGATTTTTGAAACGTTTAAACCAGACCAAACACTCCAGAAACGTGATTTTTGAAACGTTTAAACCAGACCAAATACTCCAGAAATGTGATTTTTTAAAACGTTTAAGCTAAACCAAATACTCCAGAAATGTGATTTTGTAAACGTTCAAATTAGACCAAACACTCAAAAAATGTGATTTTTTAAAGACACATAGTACTGACATGCTATAAACACATCAATCTTAAAGACTGACAAAACCAAAATCTAGGTAAACCGCGATAGTAAACTTTGTTGAAGTTGTTTAACAATAGTTTATGGTAACTGATTCGTCCATTTCTGTGGTTCAAGTTTGGTATAAGTTTATGTCGACACAAGCATCTGATGTTATAAGTGATGTCATCAGACTTGAGCGAATCAAAAGGGTAATGACGTCTTCAAATGTATCATCAAATTTATCATCAAATATCATCAGTTTGTCCAAGAGTTAGTTGTTCGTAGGCTTGAAAACAAGTAAATTTTTGCTTGAGAAATGTAGCCAGTGTGTTAGTGCATAGTGATGCTACTATCATGCCTGTAGCCTGTGTGTTAGTGCATAGTGCTGCTACTATCATGCCTGTAGCCTGTGTGTTAGTGCATAGTGCTGCTACTATCATGCCTGTAGCCATTGTGTAAGTGCATAGTGCTGTAACTATCATGCCTGATAGTAACGTCCCACTGAACGCAGATTGCCTGTGCATGAAGTAATTTACTCAGACTCCCTCTAATCGTGACGCAAGTGTATCAGTTACAGAAAAGCCAATTCCAGGTGCACCGATACTGTTACCCTGCAGGTAGATTGTCACGTAATAAGCAGATCGGCAGGTGGGAACTTCGTGCCAACAAGATATATTACTCACGTTCAAAGCAAATAGAGCATTTATATCAGGAAATGACTCGATTCTGTCATTTTGTAATTCACGTCTATCTAATAGCAACAGATGTATTTATATGAGTATAATGATAGTGTAATGTGCAACACATGTGTCAGTATATCTTACACATGTATTAATATACAAGCCAATACGGATATAGCACAATCAAGTCTAATAATAGATAAGGGCGGGGGGTTGGGATGTAAAAGACAAGGTACATCATGCATGGAGTGTTGTTTGCCAATAGCTGCCACTTCAACAAGTGGTGACTGAAGAGGAAAGAGTTACTACGTTCAAAACTAGTCTAGTTCTGAAGTCTGTTGTCTCGTCGTCTAGTGTCGAATGTCTGGTGTCTGGTCTTCTTATGTGACTAACGTCTAGTGTCTCGTCGTGTAGTGTCTGATGTCTAGTCTTGTAATGACTGATGTCCGATATCTTGTGTCTTGTGAGTCGCGTCTAATGTCAGCTGTACGTGTTCTGTCATTTAAAAATCTCGTGTCGCCTGCCCACGACCTACGACCAACACAACTTAAGCGAGACGTAATTTACCAACACGACTGTTACGTCACTTACCACAATGGCGACATGACGAAAATTAATTAACCTATTAATTCAGGTCCCGCCCCCTCCCTTCTTAGCCTGGTAACCTTATACATCTGACCCCGTGACCCAATTAAAAGCTGATAGCAGCAAGAGACGCATATACGTCACTGCTCAGTTCTGCCATGAAACTTACCTCGGTATATACCGGAAGTTGTGGACCCAGGCGCACCTTGTTTACTTGCAAGTTTTCCCATTAGGATTGTAACTTGTAACCGCTATTTCTCGGAAGTAATTATTTTAACATACTTTGGGTATTTGAGACAAACTTGCTTATACATTAGTGTAAAATAAAATATCACTCTTCAAATTACATTTTTCAAATCTAACGTTTACACCTAAGTGAGGTTATCGTGACCTAGACACTGTCTATGGGTTTTAAATTACCGCTACTAAAAATAGATGAACATCGCGCCTCTAGAGACCCATATAAAACTCAAGGTTAAAAAAAAGGCGAGACTGGGAATTCCCAAAGTGAAGTCGACTCCCATGTCAAGCCTATAAGTCCCTTAGACATGGAACACGACAACGTTTAGTCCACGATGTTTTTCTGAGAATAGTTCAGGTAGGAAACTATCTTTTCTATTAGTCTATTTGTATCGTCAAATAAGTGGTCAGGTAAAATGTTACTCTAAATTTTATTTTTAAAGTTAATATTGTGTATGAAAGTTTTTTTTTAAAATACAATAAATCACTTCTTTAATTTATTTTTGTTGTGGACCTAAGTTTAACAGTAAAACAAATTTCACTTTTGTAGTGTACAATGTTAATGACGTTAATTGTGGCAGATGTAGTAACTTGCGGTGGGCATGTGGCATACTAGAAATTGTGGTGGACTGAGAGACGCTGCCCCTTCTCCCTAGGGACCATAAAGGAAAGATAAGAAGGAGAGAGACGTATGTTGTGGATTTTAAAACAAATCAAACAATCTCCTCCATAAAAGTGATTTTAAAATATATAATACTAGCTTGACATAAACATTAACTACGATCTTAAGTAGTAATAAAACTAAGAACGGTGGGCTAGCGACATTGTACACAAAATGAAGGACATAGGCATGTACTACCTACTGGGCAGGGAATATTGGCGTCGCTATGATTGCTGCTGTTGCTTCAAGGGTCGGCTGGTGTCAGCTATGTATCACCTCCCCCTTCCCAGTTCCCCACGACCATGGGTCCCCCTGGGTGTGGGGCCTTATATCAACGACGTCTAATACAGATGTACCCCAGGGGGTTGACGTGAACTCCACTCAGCTGTCACGTTGAAGACCGCGGTTCGAATCTCTCTGACACTGTGTTTCATAGAGTGGACGGTAGACATCGAGATCAATAGTGTGGTGGGCTGGTTGGGTGTGTTGGCCATTCATTCAGATTGTGCTTAGGTCTGTAGGAGCTTGTGGGAATGGCGGGGGGGGGGGGGTAGTTTACAATATCGGACTTAGCTACATATAACTTACTGTTGTCCATTCATTCAGATTGTGCTTAGGTCTGTAGGAACATGTTGGGGGGGGGGGGGTGAGTTTATAATGTCGGACTCGGCTACACAGTACTCACTGTTGTCCATAAATTCAGATTGCTCTTAAGTCTGTAGGAAAATGTTGTGGGGGGGGGGGGGGGAGTTTACAATGTCGGACTCGGCTACACAGTACTCACTGTTATATTTCTGTTGTCCTTTACATTCTGCTCACACCACAAGTGTACCAATAGCCTAGACCCTAAAACTAAACCTTACATTACAACACTTCTAACAACCTAACACCCCTATTTTGAAAGAGTCCACTGTCTGACAATGGTAGTAGGTAGACACTGGCTAAGTAAGTTACGTGAGCGCGTCAATGAACTGGATGAAATTAGAGTTGAATGGCTCATTACGAAATCAAGCACTCTTAACAGAGGGTTAAAATAGTCCACACTCAATGACGTCACTTCCTGTGAGACCTTGCTCCCACATCCCCAGTAAACACGGAAACCGAGAATCTAAAAATAGCAGCGTTGCTACATGTAAACACATAGCGACCCTCTCCTCACCTCTCCCTCTCTATGATACTTACTATGGGCCAAGTTCAGACTGTCTAGTTCTGTATCCGGATACTTGAGTCGCACTTTAAGAATGAAATAAAAGAAGCGCAAACATGTCGTAAAGATCTGTCACGTGATTTTTGGACTCTTCCAAACGTAAGGATTGTTAATGGGGTTATCATTTAGTCTGGGGTTAGGACCACAGCTAATCTTAACTAAGCAAGTAACCTTAAAGTTCCCTAACAGCAACTAGACACCCTTTATTGTTGGAGAATTCTTAATTAAGTGGCAGTACCTGGAAACAGACGTACTACCCCCCCCCCACACACACACCCAATCCTACACATATACACATCATATTCATTCGAATCTGTTTCATCTGTTCACTTACGGTGTGTATTTCTTATTGATCCACCCTCTCTCCCCATTAATGTTTATCAGATCTCTCATATTGTGTTTGAGTTGTTTAACCACGCCCCCTCCAAAGAGCTAAACATCTCTTCGCTACACTAAACTTCACGTACATGTAATTTTAATTACGCTAAACTTCAAGTAAGTGTTAGTTTAATTATGCTTAATTTGCATGTAAGTGTAATTAGCCGCACGTCCCACCCACCACGACCGGGTGAGTCACAGCATCAACACCACAAACTACAACCACCGACATCCGTGTTTTCATGCCGACATGCAACAGA